AATTTCTCAGATGATCAATCAACTAATAGTTATTCTCTCAAGGTAAGTGAGAAATCAAACTTGGAAAGTTTAAAGGTTAAGTGCACCTCCAAATTGAGTACAATAGCCTTTTCTCTGCCAAATATTGCAGAAGGATAAGAAAGCAGAGGATCAAGAATACGAAGATCTCTAGCATGTATTGAAACTCTTTTCATAATAGCATACTTATCCAAATCCAATATACTACTCTGTCCTTTACTGTCTACAAGTATCCACCTTCTCGATACCCCTGTTTTCATCTTTCACACTTACAACAAATAATAGTAATAATGCAATTTGAGAAAACCCCACTTTCAAAAACTGGCAAAATCAGTGATTTTTGCAGAAAGAAATAAGATATTAATGTTGATAATGGAAATTTGAAAGGTAGGAGAAAAGGGGAAAATGGTGATAGGAGAAAGATAAGGACATGACATTATAGGTGAAATTGTAGAGAAACAAAAGTAGTTATTATTACTGCTAAAAGAGCTGTATGTTTTTGGCCGATTGTGGGTGCGGTAAACAAGCAAAAACTTACATAAACAGACAAGTACGGTGTATCAACCCTCTATTTTTTCATTCTATTTGACAAATAATATACTCCCTCCGTCCCTATTTACTTGTCCATATTTCCTTTTTTGGTTGTCCCTATTTAGTTGTCCATTTTGACAAATCAAGAAAGGACAACAAATTTTTTCCTATTATACCCTTATTTACACTTCTTGAAAATTGTAAAAGTGTATGTTGTTTCCCTCCAATTTATTTCACTTGAATTCAAATAAGTGGTTATAATTTTAAAGTGAAAAGTTGTCATAAGGATAAAATTGTAACTTCACTGTGCTAATCATTGTTGCCTTAATCTGTGTGCCATTTCTAAAGTGGACAACTAAAAAGGGACGGAGGGAGTACTTTGGTACGAAAAAGAAATAAGTGAGGATTTTTAATTTATTTTTGGTATTTGAGAATAAATAAAATATTATTATATACTCCTAATTTAGGCAGATATTATTGAGTTGGTGACTTTGTATGAGGGTTACAGTCTGACAGGTGGTGAGGTGATAGGGACAGTGGTTCATGGGATGGGATGGAAGGTGAGGTGTGTTAGTAGGAAGGGGCGGAGCTAGCTTATTAGCCGTGGAGATTTCGATCGAATTCAATAGTTTTGGTTTAAATTTTATATTTATATATTTTTTTAAATTATTGAATATGTACAAATTATAAATTTAGAACTTAGTGCCTTCAGAAAATTAAAATCTTGAATTCGTAAACTTTAAATCCTCTGTTTGCCTATGTAAGTGAGTCAATATTGTCGTTTGATAGAGTATATAAAAATAATGTTCAATAGAGTGTATTAATATTGTTTGTATTAGGTATGTTTGCATTAGTTATGCATATATTATTTTTATTCATTGCTTGGTTTGGTGTATTAAAAATAGCATGCATGGTATATAAATATTTATTTATAAAAGTATCCTCTACAATTATAGTAGAAAAGATGTAAAAGTGTTTTTGAGGGGTAATTGACTCTTTAATCATATGATAATGTATGTATTAAATCTCTTTGCATTACTAATAATTAGAAATTCATGGTATTAGTAATAAGAGAAATTACACGAATAAGCAAACATATACTAGTTAATTAGCTAACATAACTATAGTTTGAATTAATTACCACTCGCAACATCTTTTTAGCTAAAATTATGTGCACCTTTTTCCTCTCTTCCTCTCTCTCGCCTCTCTCCTCTCTTATACATATACAAATACAAATTATACATATACAAATACAATTCGTTTCTCTCCACTTCTGCCCTCTCTCCCCCCTCTCCCAATCTCACTCGCATCTCTCCCCCCTCTCCCAATCTCACTCGCATCTCTCCCCCCTCTCCCAATCTCACTCGCATCTCTCCCCCCTCTCCCAATCTCACTCGCATCTCTCCCCCCTCTCCCAATCTCACTCGCATCTCTCCCCCCTCTCCCAATCTCACTCGCATCTCTCCCCCCTCTCCCAATCTCACTCGCATCTCTCCCCCCTCTCCCAATCTCACTCGCATCTCTCCCCCCTCTCCCAATCTCACTCGCATCTCTCCCCCCTCTCCCAATCTCACTCGCATCTCTCCCCCCTCTCCCAATCTCACTCGCATCTCTCCCCCCTCTCCCAATCTCACTCGCATCTCTCCCCCCTCTCCCAATCTCACTCGCATCTCTCCCCCCTCTCCCAATCTCACTCGCATCTCTCCCCCCTCTCCCAATCTCACTCGCATCTCTCCTCCCTCTCCCAATCTCGCTCGTCAGATATACAAATACATATGTATACCAGTTCATATATACAATTATCTAACATATATACATATACAATTCGGCAGATATACAATTACAATCTCGCTTGCCTTGTTCCTCCCTCTATCATGTAGCGACGAATCGTAATTAGCAAACTATAGCTATGGAACCTCCTAATTAAGTTACTTTTTGTCGTTATTTGCAAAATTTCCTCGTAATACACTCCTCAATACATAATAGAGTGACAAAATGAAAAAGTGTATCAAACAAGGAACGACTAATAGAGAGTGAACGAATGCATTATTTTTACTAATACATTACCAAACGAGTGTGTAATATCACTTGAAAATTATTTTTTCTAGTTTTATTAGGAAAGTTATTTTTTTGTTTTTATAAGGAATTTGTTTTTCTTGACAAAATGTTTTTTGAAAATTTTAATCAGTCAAATAGGAAAAAAAGGAAATTGTGTACAAACAAGCCTCTAAAGTTTCAGTTTTCACAGTGACATTCTTTAAAAATAGTATGGACCTGTTTGGAAAGTCACTCTGGTAATTAGATTTGGTGTAATTACATTGTCTGTTATGTTTAGTTGACCATGTAATTACCTGGTCAGTGGATAATTGTATGTAATTGATAATTTTTCCTACTATTTACTATTCTCACCCCCGCCCACCCTAATTTTCCAATTTTTAATCATTCTAAATTGTTAGACACTTAAAAAAAGTATCACGCAAATCGCAATAGTACATTTGAATGACGTTAATTATCATATATATAATATATCTAATAGTAATAGTAATCTTATGATTAGTTTGTGGTGTACTATATTGGATAAACTTTATACATATATTAGATTTAAACGCCCTTCCCTAAGTCCTAAGAATTGAATTTCTACACATTAATTAAGTTACGACAAATCACATACTTTGTATCATATTATAGTTAAAACATTTTGTTAAAAATAACTTAATGTGGCGAAAACACTACTATTACTACAACAAATTTCAACTCATGATAAAAATGATAGCTACAAAATTTTATCATAAAATTTGATATATCATTTCATTATGACAAATAATTATAATTATTAAATCAAAACACAATTTCTAGTACTCGAAGCAAATATATTTCATTAGTAATTATTAAATATAATAAAGGCAACAAGAAAGTCGAAGAGTAAGTTATAAATTGTTGACATGAAAAGGAAGCTTCTAATTTAAGTGAGGCATGTGGAAAGGCATGGGTGTATCACAGTGTGTATCACGAGGCAATTCTATGTGCTCAGTGGAACCCACTCTCACGATCCACTCGTTTAATTTTAGTGCATTATTTTTTGAGTTTAAGTTGTATTTATTAAAAAATGGTTATGATCATATTAAATTTGATATTTACTGAATCGACTATGTAAATTCCTATCATATATATAAGGTTTATAACAGGCCCTAATAGAGATTTATCCAATCTCAATATTTGAATTTAAATTTTTTAATTAAAGATGAAGGATCGACTTATCCATCTCACTACATGGTAAGAATTAATTGACACTCATTATTTGCATACACTAAATAAATAAATGTAAGATATGTGCTTTTCACATATATATTTATTAATTAATCATGATTAGATAATATATATTTTCATGTTAAACTTTAATTTTGAAGGTTATAGTATTTGGGTTTGGTGTATAAATATTGATACTGGCTAATCAACACATTAGGGTTTGATTTTGAGGTTTATCTGTATGTTTTATTGGTTATCAATTTATAGACATGTTAGATCGTTATAGAATTGATCCTTATCCATTTAAACGTTTAGATTTTACACGAATTTTTAATTCAGTGAAAATCACTTAAAAACAAAGTGACAAACCAATTAATGATGTAACTATGAACACGAGTTGACATTTTGCATCTTGCTTAGAAGCAAACATTGACATCTAATAGAATAACTAAGAGTTTGAGACACTGAGAAGTAACAGTATGAAACAAAATCTTAAGTGAAAAACTTTTTATATAAAAAGGTATAATATATTTATCAATTTACTATCAGATTATCGGTTAATCACTTAAGAAAAAACTCATCCCCTATGTCATTAGAACAGGTAAGGAAGGCGCCTCCAATCACGGTACTGACAATTCAAGATGAACTCCTTTCATGCCAACAATAATACTACTAAACTTTTAAAAGAAGAGAGATGAGATCAAGTTTTATACTCTCTCCGTCCAAATAATTGTCCAGTATATTATTTTGGGATGTTCAACAATACTTGTCTACTTTATGAAATCAATGGATAATTTTACACTTAGTTCCTAATTTATCGTTATTATTGATTATAGTCATCTGTCTATTACATTATTCAAGATATTATATTTATTATATCCAAAATGTGATATAGTAAAATTACCCTTTTATTTATAGTTACTTAAAAAATGTACAAAGTTAATAATGGACAAATATTATTGACTAGATGAAGTAATAAAATGTTATAGACGGCTAAATTACATGTAACAATTCTCTTTATGACATTAATTGGAATCTCCCTGCCATAAAGTGTCACCTCGTGCCAGCCACACAACAAATTTGTAGTCCTTGTAATCTTGTTTTCAACTTCTTTTTGTGCGACTGCTACCATTTGGTCCCAAAACTTCTTAACCACTTTTAGGGGTAGACAGGAATTGATGTCCCTCTTTTAACACATCTAACAAGTACTTCACTCTTATTTGTCACTTGTTATTTTCTTTATAGTTTAATAAACAAATCACAAATAGTTCAAATTTGAATTTTGAGTTATAAATAGTTTCTTTTGTGTATATTATTCTCTTTAATATATATATATAGGTTATTTATGTGTATATAGCCCCTTTGAGAATCAAAGATATAGGTGGAGCAAACTCTGAATTTTACAAAAGAAATTGTTGTAGCTCGTAGACCATCCTTAAATTCTTTCTTTTTCCATTGTTGTGGAAACTTCTGACTGATTTGCAACCAGTGGTGGAGTCATATTAGTTCAAAGGTGGTTAGTTGAATCCGCTTGTCAGCAAATTATATTTGTCCGTATGTGAGATTTTATATACGGTCATAAGTTCGTATCATAACATTTTTGCATATCTTATCTCCATGGCTCTGCCTCTTCCTCGAAAAGTTGCAATTTAGAAATTAAATTTCAACATGTTGACATGTAGGGTGTATTTTATATTATAATAAGAGATTGGAGGAGTAATGATTATTAAGATTTAAGATCCAACAAGACCCTTGTGCCTAGCATATGTAATTATTGATAAGAAAACGGATGCAGAAGCAATTCCAGCAAGAATGACCACCTGCAATATAAATACAAGTGTTACCAAAAATATACATATTCTGAGTGTACAAAGCATCCTGCATTCACACAGGATCCGGGGAAGGATCGCATCCCAAGAGAGTGTGATGTAGGCAGTCTATCCTGACGCAAGTATTCTATAGCCACAATAGAGACAACTTTATTGTTGCTCGAATTCTGCATTCACACAGGATCCGGGGAAGGATCGCATCCCAAGAGAGTGTGATATTTAGGCGGTCTATCCTAACGCAAGCATCAGTGACTTGATTCTATAGCCACAATTAGAGACAACTTTTATTGTTGCTCTGAGGCTTTCCTTCTAGAGTTTAACTTCTTATATACTTTTGAATTAAATTACTTGATATAATATACTACTCCCATAAAAAGAATCGAGTATGCGCACCCATTTAAAAAGGTATCCATGGTCTTTCTTCCAAGGAACTGGAATATTCATTCCCAATATTGCAGCCACCAAGGAGTACACTGTCAAACAAACTGTACCAAAACTAAGGAACAGCTCCAACTGCGGTATCAATCAAAAACAAATGCTATTATTCGCCTATATACAAGTCGAGAAGTAGCAGATTTATACAGGAAATATTCAACAAGACGTACGGTACACATTTCAACATACCTGGATCAGCTGATTTCGATGATTGTCCAGCTGCGAGCAACAAGGAATTAACTGTTAGTTTTGTGTATAGTTCCTAAAGCTAGAAGCTTTTAGCATTACACAACAAGTTAAATCAGCGCGGAGTAGTAACCTGAATATTGATATAGTCCTCGGTGTCATCAATATATTCGCGCAACTGGATAAAGTAACACCAGTATCACTATGTAATTAGAGTTCTGAATGATCAGTTAATTATTTCATTTTGTGTATGTAAAGGGCATCAGGTTCCTGTTTTTTTCATTTTCTTACCGTTGTCAATTTGTTCATCGTGCTTTCAATTTGCACAAAGTTCGCCTGCAAAAGCATGTAGTTATTGAACAACACACGTATCCGATGATTAATTATATATGCTAGTGTGTGTAAGTTCATGATAATACTAACCTCAAGCAACATTTCAAGTTCCTCAACATCAGTCTCCTCATGAGTTATCCCGCAGATCCTGCTTGGTTTGGATAATAACTTTGAGTGTATTGAGGACGTATCAGGGGACCAGTAAGGTGCCACCTGACCACTCAGGGGGGATGAAACTCCGGCAACTAATTTTCTTGAGAGGTAAAGGTCAGCCATGTCACCATCATCTTCGAGAAGTTGTTCGAGATCATCCCTGACCTAGAAATTGGCATAATTTAGATTCAATTACATTAACTAAACTTTCAGCTCTAGATGAACTCTGTTGGGAATAAACCCGCAACAAAAATAATATTTGCGGTAACAAAAGCAATAAAAGTGGAACACAACAATTCGGTTAATCAACGAGAATAAAAAGAGCAATAATGACACCAAGATTTTACGTGGAAACCCTCTTGAATAAGGGAAAAACCACGGCCCGAGAGGAACAACTGATATCACTATAGTAAAGATTTTTACACTTGTAGGTCTGAGTAAAAAACTCCAAAGACCACTACACATTCAAAAGAAATAACCCCCTTTTGATTTTTCCCACCTCACTACAATATCGCTCACACTCTCTATTTTTCCTCACAGACTATTTCCCTCAGTGATGCCTCACTCTTCTTTTCTCTCCTTTGTTTTTGGTGCATTTGAGAATGAAGAATGACCCTCCCTTTTATAGATAACAAATGGAGTAGCCTCACAATTTTTTTGTTTTTCACAGCTTACCAACATTTGACTTTTGAGGAAAGCTGGAAAAAAAATCAGCACATGTATATCCAATATCTTCCAAATCTGCCAACCCTTTGACATTATGAGATTTATCAAAGTTTGGCACATGGGGATGGACCCCACAATCTCTCTCTCAAGACCCGTTCACCTGAAGGAGGTAGCTCTAAGTTTCTAACTTGAGTGCATGCCGACAAGTTCTTTGCATAATTCGAACTTGTCTCTTGATACCACCTTAGTTAGCATATCCAAAGGGTTTCCACTAGTAGGGATCTTCATGACTTGCATAGATCCATCCTCTTATCTTTTCACGAATCCAGTGATCTCTCATGTCGATATGCTTCGTCCTTGCATGATACATGGTGTTCTTGCTCAAGTCTATTGCATTTTGACTGTCACAATAAACGACATACTCCTTCTGATGCAATCCAAGTTCTTGAAGAAATCGTTTAAGCCATACCATTTCTTTGCCAGCTTCAGTAGCTGCAATATATTCTGCCTCAGTTGTAGAGAGTGCGACACACTTCTGCAACTTTGACTGCCATGATATAGCTCCCCCTGAAAATGTAAACAAATATCCAGTAGTGGATTTTCTGTTATCGAGGTCACCTACCATATCAGCATCTGTATAGCCCTTCAAGATTGGATCAGATCCTTCAAAACACAAACAGTCTCTTGTGGTACCTCTCAGGTACCTGATTATCCACTTAACTGCCTCCCAGTGTTCTTTTCCAAGATTTTCAAGGAATCTGGTAACAACACCAACTGCATGCGCAATATCAGGTCTTGTACACACCATTGCATACATCAAACTCCCCACTGCTGAAGAATAAGGAATATTGGTCACTCTCTTTATCTCCTTTTTTGTTGTAGGACACATCTGTTTGCTCAACTTCAGATGACTTGCAAGAGGTGTGCTAACAGATTTAGCACTCTTAATGTTGAAACTTTCTAGTACACGTTCAATGTACCTCTCTTAGATAGCCACAACTTTCTTTTTATTCGTTCTCGAACAATTTTCATCCCTAGAATTTGTTGTGCTGGGCCCAAGTCCTTCATGTCAAATGACTTGGACAAATCTCTCTTCAACCTTGCAATCAACTCTTTGTCTTGTCCTACAATTAACATGTCATCCACATACAACAACAAAATAATAAAATTGTTGTCAGAAAATCTTTTGAAGTATACACATAAATCAGAATAGGTCTTTGTGTACGTTTGACTTTTCATGAAAGAGCCAAACTTTTTGTACCATTGCCTTGGTGCCTGTTTCAACCCATAAAGACTCTTATTCAATTTGCACATCATGTGTTTCTTTCCAGAAACTTCAAATCCCTCTGGTTGCTCCATATAAATCTCCTCTTCCAAATCTCCGTGAAGAAATGCAGTTTTCACGTCCAATTGCTCCACTTCAAGATCTAGCTGGATGCTAGGCTCAAAATAGTTCGAATAGAAGTCATTTTGACAACAGGTGAAAAGATTTCATCAAAATCAATACCTTTCTTTTGTTCGAAGCCTTTTACAACCAATCGAGCTTTGTACCTGACCAACTTGCCATTTCCATCTTTCTTGAGTTTAAAGACCCACTTGCACTTAAACGGTCTTTTGCTTTTTGGAAGTTCAACTAGCTGGTATGTGCCATTTTTCTGTAGAGATTCCATCTCTTCTTGCATGGCTTTCATCCATTGGCTCTTTTCTGGGTGAGACAACATCTCTTTAAGACTTTCTGGCTCCCTTTTATCATTGATGAGGACATACTCTGAGGAAGGGTATTGGATGACTCTACCCTTTGTCTTTCTGATCTCCTCAAAGGTTGAGATTGTTCTTCTTCTTTCGGGTACTCCACTTGCTCGGTATTATCACCAAGTTGCTCCCCCTGCTCAACAATCTCATTAGGTTGCTCTTCATGTTCAACAACTTCATCGATCGTACTTTCTGCACTTATGAGATGGTTAGAAGTAAAAGGAATGGTAACAAGATTAGGGATTGTACCATTCTTTTTCTTGGCCTTCTCAGATAGATCATCAACAGTTCCAACTTCACTTTTTCGGAAAATTACATCTCTGCTTCTAATGACCTTCTTCTTTACAGAATCCCACAGTCTGTACCCGAACTCTTCATCTCCATATCCGATGAATATGCAGGGAACTGATTTATCATCTAGCCTGGTTCTCTGCTCCTTCAGTACATATGCAAAAAATTTACAACCGAACACCTTTAAGTGCGAGTAAGACGGCTCCTTGCTGGTCCAAACTCTCACCGGAATGTCAAACTCCAACGGAACTGATGGACTACGATTGATAAGGTAACATGCTGTCCGATCTGCTTCACCCCAGAATGACTTAGGTAATTTAGTCATTCTGAGCATGCTTCTCACCTTCTCAACAATGGTACAATTCATTCTCTCAGCTACACTATTGTGTTGCGAGGTTCCAGGAACTGTCTTTTCATGTCTGATTCCATGGTTTGAACAGTACTCTTTAAAGTCTCTTGAAGTGTACTCACCCTCATTGTCAGTTTGGAGACGTTTTAGCTTTCGACCCATCTCTCTTTCTACCAAAGCATGAAAATTTTGAAATACCAGAAACACCCGATCTTTCGTTTTTAAGATATAAACCCACAATTTTCGTGAAGCATCATCAATAAAGGTAACAAAGTATTTATTACCTCTTATCGATTCTATCTCTATTGGACCACAAACATAAGAATATACCAAATCAAGTATATTCAACTTTCTTTCAGATGATGTCTGAAATGAGACTCTATGTTGCTTTACCAAATAAACAGTAGTTACAAGGTTTTATCGTTGTACCTTGGCAAAAGAGATGAGTGGTTTTTTAGAAAGAATTTGCAATCCTTTCTCGCTCATATGACCCATTATTCTATGCCACAAATCTGCATAAATCTCTTCATGAGCCGTATTCAATTCACTTTGGCATATTTCTGCATTTGTCCTGAACAACGTGCCACGACCAACTCCTTTTGCAATCACCAATGCCCCTTTGGTGAGTCTCCATTTTCTATTTGCAAAGTAGTTCTCATATCCATCTCGGTCCAAAGCAACTCCCGAGACCAAGTTCATCCGCAGATCAGGTACGTGGCGCATATCTTTCAAAACTAATGTGCATCCGACATTTGTCTTTATGCAAAGGTCTCCGATCCCCACAATCTTTGAGTAACTTGTGTTACCCATTTTCACATTGCCAAAATCACCTGCTACATATCTGAAAAAAAGATCTCTTACCGGTGTGGCATGGTAAGATGTTGTTGTGTCGACCACCCATTCCGACTCTACACCTGCCAACTGCATGCATTCCTCTTCCTCGTTTATGAGGAGAACAACATTGTCATTATTTTGCACCATTGTAGTTGTGTTGTCATCATTTTTCTGGCCGTTGCTTTCTCCTTTGGCCCTTTTTAGATTTGGACAATCTCTTTTCAAGTGACCTGGTTGATCGCAATTGTAGCAATTTCTGGCCTTTGATTTTGATCGGACTTTGGACTTTTCACGAGCTCCGGATCTACCATAGTTACTGAAGCTCCTTTGGTAACTTCTGCCTCTACTTTCAGTGATGAGAACCTGCCCGTGATTCTCAGGCTTTTTTCTCATCTTCTCATTAAGTAGAAGGGCTGTTGTGACATCCTTCAACTCAATAGAGTCCTTACCATGTAAAATAGTTGTTGCCAAATTATCGTAGGAAGATGTCAACGAGTTTAGGAGCACTATGGCTTTATCTTCCTCCTCGATCTTTACTCCGAGGTTTGCTAGCTACGTGATTAATCCATTAAGAACATTTAAATGGGGAAAAAAATTTGTACCTTCACCCATATGTAGGGCGTATAACTGCTTCTTTAGGTACAATTTATTTGTCAGCGTTTTGGAAAATCCTTACTATAGTGATATCAGTTGTTCCTCTCGGACCGTAGTTTTTCCCTTATTCAAGAGGGTTTCCACGTAAAATCTTGGTGTCATTATTGATCTTTTTATTCTTGTTGATTAACCGTATTGTTGTGTTCCGCTTTTATTGCTTTTATAACCGCAAATATTATTTCTGTTGCGGGTTTATTCCCAACACAATCTTGTTCCTTCGAGACACAAATTTTTCGTTCATGAACGGACGCATAGACCAGAACATCTTGTACTTTTCAGGACATAACATGTAGAAAAAAGAGAGAGACATACTTTTTGAACCTGACTAGTCAACCTTGTCATTGCACTCTTCAATTTGTGCACTCTATCCAGGTTGCGACTACTAATCTGCAAATTAGTAAAAGAAAAATCACAAAGTAAAAGAAAAGGTACTTGGGAAACAAACTAATCAAGAGAGAATAATATATGCGTTGTGCGCAGCACATACATATCATAACCAAAATGCTATCCAGTAAAGCAACTAAACAATGGTTTCCTTAGTTGTGCTTGGGATGAACAAACAGTTGAGGAAGGACATCTTGTCAATTCAATTTATGCAAAACAATCGGGCAAGGTCGTAATATGTTGCCTCATGTTCAAATAAAACTAATCTTGGTTGACGTAGATGACGAGGTGGACTGGTGATATAATCAAATGGCACCATCTTGATGGGTCACAACTTGACTTAACATCCGGATAGTTTCATAGAATTCAGCATTGGTGACCTCTCCTTGGGGTTGCATTTCTGGTACATTAGGTACCACTTGTTCCTCGACGTTTCTCCTAGCAGGAAGACCTCAAATAGCTCTTCGTGGAGGCATGACTATCTGAAAATACGTGCAAGCACGAATTAGAGGGAAACTTTTTAGAGATCAAACTCTAACGCATGAAATGAGTGTGAAAAAAGTAAGATAGTTCCTAAATGTTACAGCTTCCTAATTATAGATGTGGCGCGCTTCACACCGATAACTAGGAATCTATAGACACAACTTTATAGACTCTCTAGGACTCTTGAACTCTGTACTCTGATACCAAGTTTGTCACGCCCCGAGCCTACACCCCTGACGTGGCTGGCACTCGAGAACCATTGCTAGCCCCAAGCAAACTCCTGGCCTGGCGTACTTACTCAGCGGAAGACTTAAACTTCAGAAATAACTTCAAATAAGGGACTTATGAAAAACATAGAATGTCTTTAAAGAAAGCATTCAACTGGCCAAAATGGCTACTCAAGTCTCATAGCAAAACATCTGAAATACAAAGCTGAAGGACTCATAACTAACTGTCTGACTATATATGAAGCCTCTAAAACAACTGAGATGGATGTTAGGACAAACCCCATAACATCCTAATAAATGAAATATTGAAAAGAACTTAAAGCAATAAATAGGAGTCCTTCGGAATGCAAGGAGGCTCACCAACAGACTCTGGAATGCTCAAATGGATCAACGATGCGCTGGATGCCGATCCTAGTTACCTGTATCTGCATCATAAGACAATGCAGGTCAACTGGCATTAGTACATTGAATGTACGAGTATGCGAGTTAGAGTGATAAATACAACATAGGCTTGAAAAGATTCCGAAAGAAACACTTATCTTGGCTCTTCTCAACTCATGAATACTTAAGTAAACTCATTTCATTATAAAAAGCAATTTAAAATAAGTGCAATATAAAGAAAAACTGCGTAAAACATTATGTCAACTCTGTGTGTATGCATGGATACAACATAACTCTGAAACGTATGTAAACATACAAATAACTATGTATATAAAAATACAATAACTTCTGTGGGAGTTTCTCTAATCGACAACCATCACGTAATCGACAACCATCACGTAAGAGCTATTGTGATGATGCAACGTCTTGTCTCACGCTGCCAGGGCCGTCCTATACTTTGCCATGAGTATAGAACCTGATCTACTAAGTGGATCTACTAGTTTTTGCTAAAAAGCACTAAAGGAATTATCTAAAAAGTATAACCCTTTTCTACCCATGGTGGCTACATGGTTTATGGGGGTTGTGGGTTCTCTGAACGTTCCCCCATATCAGTGCTCAATACTACTCCCAAAATATGATACTAACTCTTTATGTTTTAAAAACATACTTCTTTCTGTGATTTGAGATAATTGCTCAAAACTTAGTTCAAAGGCTATCTTGGAAATCTCAGTTTCCTCCCTTGCTTCATTTAGAAAGCAATTAACTCTTTTCTGAAAACTAGCCCAAAGGCTCTTTGGAAATCTCAGTTTTCGTTCTTATTTAAATGTGAAAACATTTTAAATCTCTTTGGGAATACTTAGTCCCCATATACTTTTGAAGAAATGAACTTCAACTTTACTTTTTACTGAACTCAAAACTTAAGTCTTTAAACAAGGTTAAAACGTTTGTAAAAGACTTTTGAAAAACTTTATGAACTTCTCTTAACTTGACTCTTGACTTTGATCTTAACTGCTCTTGACTTGACTCTTAACTGGTCCTTGAATTGAATTATGGATTCAAGGAATGTGATTTGTGATACGAAAGATCTCATGATGTTTAGGAATGATTTTAGATAGCTAAACATGAGAAAATACCGAAATCTCAATATTTGAGGGTAGGTCCGCGACGTGGAGAAGCTTTTAAATTTTGGTTTCAAAAACAACTTTTTAGGCAGAACACTCCGTGTCCGCTCCGCGACGCGAAACGAATATCCCCAAATCTGGGAACCAGCTCCGCAACGCGGAGGCACTACTAGATTTCATTCGACGAAATTTTATTCTTCGTTTTTCAGCTCTAAACCCTCTAAACACCATGGGTTCTTTCACCAAACACTTAGAATCGATTAAATGTTCAAAGTACATCAGATTCTACTCAAAATCGAACCTAAAATCACAGATTAGGATCAAACAACTCCTCAACTAATTCAACAAAACAAGAATTTAATGGAACTTCAAGAAACCCATCACACTACTAAAAAACTACTAAAAAACGACGGAAGAAAAAGCTTTAAAAGCGACGGACTAAGAGACGCTGTCCGTCGCTTTTTAAAAATGTTTGACTAGATATTTTGACCAAAAAGCAACGGACTAAGAGATGCCATCCTCCGTCGCTTTTTAATTAAAATAATAATTTTTAAAATTATTTTACAAAAAGCGACGGACTGCTTTTTTTACGGATTTTTGCGCTAAATATATATATAATTAATAATAATTTATTTCATATATATAGAGACGTCGTCCGTCGCTTTTTATTAAAAATAATTATTTATAAATTAAACAATAACCACGCTATTCATCGTTTTAATTTATTTTATTTTATTAATTAGTTTTTTAAAAAAGCGACGGACGGCATTTCTTAGTCCGTCGCTTTTTGGTCAAAATATCTAGTCAAACATTTTTAAAAAGCGACGGACAGCGTCTCTTAGTTCGTCGCTTTTTAATTAAAATAATTTTTTAAAATTTTTTATTTATAAACGACGGACGGCATCGCTTAGTCCGCCGCTTCTTTTCGTGGATTTTTGCTAATTAATTATTTTATATAGATAGCGACGCAGTCCGTCGCTTTTTATTAAAAATAATTATTTATTAATTTAAAAAAAGTCATGCCGTCCGTCGCTTTTTATTAATTTTAATTGTTTAATTATTTTTTAAATTAGCGACGGACAACATCTTTATGTTCGTCGCTTCTTGGTAAAAATATCTGGGTCAAATATTTTAAGAAAGCAATGGACAATGTCTCTTAGTCTGTCGCTTTTTGGTCAAACATTTTTTTTAAAAAGTGACGGACATAGAGATGTTGTCCGTAGCTTTTTTAAAAATATCTGCACTAGCAGACGCGATTTTCCCCATTTCTTCATATAAAAAACAAAATTGAGAAATATTTTGATTTAATTTTATTTAAATCGTCTTCCGGAGAATGGTTTTGTGTAAAATAAAAAAAATAAAAATTATAATACCGACTTCCAGATGTCGGTAAAATTAAATAGTATGTAATAAATTAATATTTTCAATTAACTTTAAATAAATCGTCCTCCGAATGACGATTTTATATAAGTTAAAAAATAATTTAATATAAAATACCGACCTCCCGATGTCAATATTATTTAATTAACATGATTACTTTTTATTTATCTTAAAATTTAAGGTGATACCGACCTCATGAGGTCGGTATTTTTTATTATATCTAATTATTTTTAATAAAAGCGACTTCCGGACGTCGGTATGTTTAAAATATTCCTATTAATCATAATTTTGCTATTGTGCATAATATTAAAATTTCATTTTACACCTACGATTAATTGTTCAAAAAGTGTAACAATTTTGTATACTTTTACAAATAAAATATTAGAATTCGTGAAATAAATAAAAAAATATCTATAATCCATATTTAGAGTATGAAACTACGTTGATATGAATTAGGAGATAATTATACTTATATTTATAGAGTAATGTACAAATCCTATCAGTCCGTCGTCTAATCATAAACTTAATATCTCATGTCAGGATGTAGTAGAGGTGAAGAGCTAACATATAATCCATTCCAGTATGAAATGCGAGATAGTATTATTATATACGTTCGATCTTGAATGGATGTCAAGTGTAGTGATCACCTCCTAATTATGATGACATGTAAAGGATACTTCATCGGAGTATATGTGCTTGGCCTATATATATATATATATATATAT